CCTTCAACTCCACATTACCTTGCTTACTAGTGATATAGCCCCAAGACTGTTACATAAATATAATACATATATATTTCCTAAAACATTTTTCAAATTGAAATTGTTCACTCAGTACAAGCCATATTTTATAAATGCTCAGTTTAATTTTTTTTAAATCTGAATTTTTTGATGTTTTTACTCGCCTTGATATACTGTGATAACATTTTTTAACATGTAATCCCTTGGTCACATATAAAAAACTATGCAATATTTTAGATATCAAACCATGTAACCTCACTGTTTTCTAATATATTTTTACCTATCATCCTTTCATTATTAATCTATACTGAAATGAATAGATTACTATAATTTAACATCATTTATAGATAAAATATATATATTTTTCAAACTTAGGACCTTGCACTTGTGAAGCAGGTGGCAGCCCCACTGAGCTAAATTCCAGGACTTATAGTTTCATTTTAAATTATTAACTTAGTTTTGAGACTAGATTTTAATCTATAGTTCAGGGTGGCCTCAAACTCACAGTGATCCTCCTATCTCACCCTCCTAAGTGCTAGGATTACAGGATTGTCCCACCATGCCCAGATAAAATTCCAGTTTCTATTTTAAATTTATTTAAAATTTTGGAGGAGAACATTGTGGTTAATTATTTGAATACCTCCTTTCATACACACTGGCCCAAAAGGAATTTAGGAGATAAGCCATTTTCAGAATACAGAAAATATTTTATATTAAGTTAAGAGGATCAATTCCAAGTGATATAATCATTCTATTTCAAGTAGAGGATAAATGATTGAAGTAAAATATTTTCTTATGCAGATTGAAAGTATTGATACATCAACATTTACTGATCTATGATTCTCAAATTTTGCATACATCATTATCACCTGGAGAGCTTGTAAAACTCAGATCTGTCCAGAGTTGTTGATTCAGTATCAGGTGGGTAAGTTTCAAGAATTTGCTTCTAACAAATTCTCAAATGCTGTTATTGCTGCTGCTGTGGGATTCACATTTTGAGATCCTTGGCTCTGACATTCACCCATCCATTTTAGGTAAATAAAGATTGCATTAATAGTACTTTATTGTCACTGATCAGCATTAATACTCTCTGTACATTTATATGCCAGGAACATGTAATAAGATTCTTATATCATGATGATGAAATAGGTAATATCACTAAATCGATATTAGATTTAAAGATACTAAGATTTAGAGCAACAATTATAAAACATCAGCATGAATTTAAGTCATTCGAAGAGTATGAAATGGTGTCCTGGAATTTATGTCTTTTCAATATTTTTATTAGTACATTTTCAGTAGATAATGTTTGAGTTACTCTTAGGGGTAGATACATGTACTTAACGTATCCTAATTATTTATATTTCCCCTTCACCTTTCCTTCCTCTCCTGTCCCTCTGTCTCTAGATTGATATCTCATTTGTAAAAGTTGTATCTCCCTGATTCCTATGTCTATTTTTAATTTTATTAACTTATTTATACTTTGGGTTTTTCATATAAGAGAAATTATGTGATGCTTAAGCTTATGTGTCTGATTTATTTCATTTAACATTATGGTCTCAAAGTGAACCTATTTTCCTATAAATGACTCAAATGTATCATTCTTTATGGCAGATTAGTACTTTCTATCTATAAATACAACATTTTCTGCATTCATCCATTTAGGCCACTTACAAGTTTTAGCTATTATGAGTTTTAGTCTTCTTGCTATAAACACGTCACTGTGGTATGATGTCTTTAACACTTTGGGGAAAATACCAAGATGGGTAATAGTTGGTTTGAATGAAATGTGTAGTTTTTATTTTATTTTTTTTTGTACCAGGAATCGATCTTAATAACTTGCACTTTCCAGGCAGGCGTGGCACCACTGAGCTACATCTCAGCCCCATAATTTTAGATTTTTGAGGATTCTCTCAGCTAATTTCCAAGTTGATTTTACCAGTTTATATTCCCACCAATAATGTAGAAGAGTGCCTTTATTTCCAGCAGCCTCATTAGCATTTGTTTTCATTTCTATTTTTTTCTTTTATACTACCCATTCTTTGTCTGGACCCATATAAATCATCCTGCACCAAAATAAAATCAAAAGAAATAAAATATATAGATATTAAAATAGCCAAGTACTTAATCTCTGGAAGATGAAATAGATAAAAATAAAACTCTTGAGTAGGCACAGGAAACAATTTTCTAAAAATAACTCCAATTATTCAAAAATTTGTATCAAAATTCAACAATAGTATTATATTGAATTAAAAAGTTTCTGGACAGCAAGGGAAACAATAGAGTGAAAAGATAACCTAGAGAAGAGGGAAACTTTTATCAGCTACTTCTCTGACAGAAGATTAATACCTAGAATTTAGTAATAACTTGACAACAAAAGACCCAGTCAAAAAAATGGGTAAATGAGATAATCAGACCTTTGTCAGTGGAAGTACACATGGCCAGTGAATACATGAAAAAATGCTCAGCATATCTGACCACCAGAGAAATGCAGATTAAAACAACATTGACATTCCATTTTACTCCTTAGTTCTCATATTTGAACCCTAAGTTAATTATCTAAGAGTTTACATTGCTAACAATATCCAGATAACGTTGATTTTCCTAGTTAAGGGACCAGACTTTGAGCATCCCAATTTCCAAAGTGAAAACCTTGATAGCTGGTAAAGTTGGTTGAGTTTCTATCTGATTCTTACAAGTTCTGTCACTTTACAGAATCAAACTAGCACAACATCAGTATCTCAACTACCATCATAATAAAAAGAAAATGTGATTATATTATTATTTTGAATTTTTAATAGATAAAATATATGTGCATTTTCTTTTAAAAATTAATTTAGAATGTTGAAGCAGAAAATTGTGTTTACTTCAATACATCCTTTTCATGCACTCTGACTCACAGTGAGCATTTTGGAAAACATTAATATTCACAATTTTTCTAGTGTCTGTTTGAATATAGTTTAAAAATATGAGCTATGATTATTTATCTGCAAAATCTTCCATCTGACTTTGCAGTGCCAGTTCTTCCATCTGGGGTTTCATAAATAGCAATGCAGAGTAATTTGTAATTCAATATGTCTTTGATAAAGTAAACTTCAATGATATGAAATAGTGTTAAGATTTTAAATTCATTATTCAACAAATATTCATTGACAACCATGACCATTTCCACACTTTGGTCAAGATTATTTGATATTTTATTTTTATAGCTCTTCAGTGAGACATATACCATATTATTGTGTATATTATTGAGCATTCTGTCTCCAATCTGCTTATTTGTGCATATTGAAAAGAACATGTGAGGCTTACATGTGCCAATATCAAGATTTCAGATGTGCCAACCATTTTGTCCTTGTGGGATCTTTGCACATACTAGTCTCTCTGACTTAAATGGTTCATTTTTTGGCATTTTTATCTTGTACATTACTGCCATCTTTTCAAATTTTGTTTAACTCAGTAATACTTTCTCAGGTGATTTCTTTTCTTTCAATTTCTTTCTTTTCCATCAAACTGTCTCTTTTATTCTAGAATCTCTTCCTTTTAATGTTGATACAATCAGATTTTTAAAAAAATATACCATAAAAATATGTCATTTCACTTAGGAACATATTGTGTCTCTAATAATATGAAGTCAGGAATTCTGTTTAATTTCCATAGCTATGCCTACAGATTTCTTCTTGGTGATATTTTGAAAGATTGAATAAATTAATCTAAAACACGTAGTCTGTACATAATTGTGTAATACTCTTTCAACATTTTCAGTTTCCTTTTAAAATATCTCTTTATACTTATTGTTTTGTGATTCAAGTGATTGTTCTGTCCATTTTGTTTTTTTCCCATGTGAAAAACATATTCTCACAAAAATTTTCCATTTTTAATTGAATAAATTAACAAATTTTGTGACTAAATGTCAAATAACAGATTTAGTAAAGAGCATCCACAAATAAAAATTGCTATGTACAATATGGGTTGATAAAATACAAATTCTCTTGTCATATTGTATATAAAACAAATATGTTCACATTTTAAGTAGTTTTGAAGTGGATCCTCTTAAAGTGCTAAAATACCCTTTAATAAATGAATATGCCAATTCACCAAGAAAATATTTTAGATTTTATTTAATGCATTTGAGTGCCTCCAAAAATCTATTCTGTACCCACAGGAAATTTAGGTAAAATACTTTTGAATAGTAGTCTAATTAATTATGTTTGCTTGCTTGAAGAACAATATTGCATAATCAACATAGGAATAGGAGCTCTGAGTATTCCACAATATTCTGAAAGTATTTTTACAGTTTTCTAACACAGACCCAAGCAATCAACCACAGTATTTGAAGCTTCCTGTATAAACTTTGTGGATCTTTGTGTTATTAATCTTCCCATACTCCAAATGATTCAGTATATTATTTGTATTTGAAATCCATAAATCTAATTCTTTGCTCATGCCAAACTCAAGAAATTATTTTATTATTCATAAAGTTGCCTTTCCTTAAAAGTAAGGTTGTCAAATATCAGATACAGTTTCCTGTTATCTATTACAAGTATTATGTATTACAGTGAGATCTCTGCACCATATATCAATTTAATTTATGAGCTTTAAACTATTTTAATATATACAAAATTATTTAAATGTTGAATTAGTTTTTAACTCATCTTGAGTTCATCTACTTTAATTCAAGATATTTGATAGACTTCTTACTTTAAATACTTGTAGATATTTTAAGCACTTGATATATTAATATTATTAATCATTATTAATATTATTAACATTATTATTTTGATATAGGATATTCAATCGTTTACTACTTTTAATAGCTAACTGCATCAATTTGAGTAAGAAATGCCCAACTAAATTGGATCATCATAGTTTTGAGTGTGTAACACTTACTGAAGATTTGCTAGGATTTACTGGGTGTGAGTGACAGCAACCAATGAGCTGGCAGCCTAAATGGTATGAAAGGGAAATGAAGAAGGAAGGCTCACTTTTACTTCTTTGAAGGAGCTCCAATATTCACCTTCATCTTGGACATCATTTTCTGCCTTCCAGCGCATTCTCTTCAGCTCCAGCACAGACCCTTCAGCTTTCCATTGCAGACCCTCAAGCTCACATGGGACACTACAGTGATCTCCCAACCTTTGACTAGATCCTTTGGATCTCTAGTGCACAGAGAGCCTTTTTGCATTCTCCCACATGTTATTTCGTCTGCAGACATTGTAAGCCAATCTTGTAAATTATATATTTGTATATCTTGCATCAAATCTCTTTCTCTAATAAGTGCTGACTGATATACCACTCACTTAGCACTTCATGTCATTTCATTAAAATTATATGTAATTTTTAGGACCACTCTGGAGTTCTCAAACTTGAATTTTTAATATGTCAAAAATGTGTGAACAAAATTAAATAATATCATGAGAAGTTCTAACCTTTAATATTGATAACTTGTGTATATTGAGAGAACACGAACTACATAATTTTCATTTTCACAGTTAATTATTTTATGATAATACATCGTGTTTGTTGCCTATAGATAACATTTCCATCTTTACATATGCCATTTTTAAATTTTATGGACACTGATTTAATTCCTTTTTTGACAAAGCTGAGTATATCCTTCAACTTTTCATATTTTTCTATGTCTGTTTACCCTATTTACAATATTCTTACCTAGTTTCTGACTTACTCTATATGCTTGCGGAGTAATCTCTGTTGTGGATCAGAATTCAGAAGGACACATACACATGTATGTTCTGATAGTATTTGTAAATAATCTTGCATTTTCTCAAAACTTAATTCATGTACTGAATTACATACTAGAAATTTTGAGTTTAAAATAACGATATTGAGAAAGTGATATCAACATTTGCTTCTTTTTTTCTTGAAGGGTGTGTATTGTCAAATAAATAATACTTAATAATTTTATGAATATTTTCAGATACAATGATTATTGCAATCATGATCATCATCATTCATAAGAGTAGGCAGGAAAAATAAATTCTCAGCCACAAGAAAATTTCATATAAAATACATATGGGTCTGAATTGATTAATATAAATTCTATGATTCCTTAATAGATAAATGAGTATTCTTTATTTCCCATATTCTTTATTTTCCCAAATTAATTTACATTAACAAAATTTTCTGAAAATTGATTTGAAGGCTTTGGAAGTATAGGCTGCATGAGATATGATGTGCAATTCTGTGAAACAAAATAATTGTAGATTTTAAAGGGGGATATTCTATAATATCCAATGTTTTCTGTACCAGAGTAGTTTATTTCACTTTCTTTCTCTCATTAAACAGTATTTCTTTAATCATTAACACCATAAAGTGCCTTTATCATTTACCTTGCTGAGAATGGTAATTTTCAATATGACTTTTGAAAGTTACATCAACCAAAATGTCTTCTAGACACTGTTTATCTAAGTCTATTGTAACTTGTATGCCTACACCTAAAGTGATTGACAGAAATTGAAATCCATATATTTTGAATTATACCCATCAGAACACAAAAGAAAATTATAAAGTAAAATAAACTAACAAATATAAAACAAAGAAATCACAAAATTATTTTGAATGAGGAGTGTTTGAACTAAAGAGTATTACTGTAGAAGAAAAATAGCTTAGCTAAAGTTTGTTGAATTAATATTTAACACAAAATAAGTACATTAAAATAAAATATGATTAAGCCCACCATTTTATGAATTTATTGCTACTATCTTTACCATTTTCAATGGTAGGTAGTACTACCTCAAGGAGAAGCATTAGCTAAAAAATTTACACATCGTTAAAGAAAATAATTAATCAACAAAATATATTGCTTAAATTCCCCATATTGCAAAGTGAAAAAAAAAATAGGAAGAAAATAGCACTCAAATACAAACATCAATAAAATAACTGGGATTAGTTTCAGAATGATTTTTAACTGAGTCAGTTTTTCAAATAACCATAGTAAGAACAACACTGAGTATTTGAAATTATCACTGTAAATTCTGACAGAATTATGTTTTAAGAAAATGGCTTAGTCGTTCAGAAAGTACTGTTACACAGTTTTAAAATTCATTTTAAATTAAAAAAAGAAACATAATCAAACTTTGGATTACAAATAACTTATTCTGCAAGTGTTTGGCAAACAAGCAAACATTTCTAATAAATTTTAACTTGATAAACCAGCAATATCTTACAATACAATGAGTAGGTGATGAACATCACAGGATCACAACTGGTCTCCACCCCCCCGCCCCCCCGTGCTTTGATATACAAGTGCTTTGAATTATGACTGGAAAGAATTATTCACTCAAGTCAAGGTTTTACTGTACAAGCATTTAAATTTTTTTTCTCTTTTGTTATTGACTTTTAAGAGCTTATAATTCTCTATTAATTTTAAACAAATATCTTAGTTTCAATAAAGCTTCTTTGCTGATTTTTAGTTTTGTAGGATTGATGATTAACATATTTTCTAAGCTACTTCAAATTCCACTTTACTTCTAGTCTTAGAATCAGATTAATGGTTCTTCAGTTATCTATCTGCAGAGTAAAACAAATTCTCTCATTTAAGAAGTCTACATGTTGTTGATTGTTATCTTTAAAGCAGCATTTAAAATATCCCTGGATATAATAAAATTACTACTTATATTTAGACAATTACTAGATAAATCTAGGTTTGCTAATATGCTGATAATTTTAAATCAATTTAATGTTTAATATATACATAAGAATTTTGTGAACTATTTTTAATTGTTTAGACATTACATGAAAATATGTTGGAAATTATCAAAATTAAATTTGGTTTTAGTTAAAATTAAATTATTATTTGTATAATTATTTGTCTTTGATTTCAAACTTTCAGATAAACGAACTAAAATGGTTTTAATTTACAAATTCTATTGATAAATCTATTTTAATTATGAGAGAACAGTTTTTGAAAATTGTTCAAAATTACTAATAATTTCACAGTAAAAAGATAATCATATATTACACTAAATACAGTGATGGTAATGAGAACATTGGTTGGACTTGATATTGACTATAAAAATAAACTGCCTAACAGTTTAGATTATATTATATAGTATTTGTTTTTACTAGTACTGGTCTGATATTTCAGTTTAATTAAATTTAAAATTCACTCATATATTCTTTAGAAATAGCTAAAAGTGATTTGACAATATGTCAAAATTCTAACATTTCTTTAAAAACAATAGAGTCATTCTATTTGTTAGAACAGAAGCTGACTTAACTAAATCCTTGCAATCTGGTCTTACATAGTTAATACTCAGTGAAGTTAAATAATAATTAACAATAAATAGAATAAATATTTTTAAACTGTAAATTCCACTAAGAATTTCATTTCACTGAAACAAAAAACAGTTTAACATTGTGAGGTTATGTGAACCAACAGAATTACTAAGTTAATATTTTTTTAATTCATTAAGTTTATCAGTACATTTCAGGTATACAATATGACATTCATCATTGACAATTTATACCTTTAGATGATATATCTTGGTTCTTATTTTTTCTTCATTGCCTTGCACTCCTTTATATCCCTCCCTTCCTCCACATTTACAAAGACTTTGTATCTTTTTTTCCTTTTTTCATATTTATTCCTTTCCCTTCCCCTACCTCTTCCATTTCCCCTTCCCCTTTGGGCCTTATCTTCCTATTTCATATTATATATTATACATTTTGATTCTTATCTAAGCTTTCAGTTTCTCATACCAGAGAAACTAGTGGAACAAGAAGAGACCTAGAATACCAAAAGCAATTCTAAGTTACTCTTGGTTTGGTTTTTTTTTTTGGTACTGGGGATCGAGCTTGGAAACTTGCGCTTGTGAGGCAGGTGACAGAACAACTGAGCTAAATTCTCGACCCTAAGTTATTATTTTTTAAAGAAATGAGGCAAAAGAAAACATGTTTGAAATAATTTTGATTTAACTCTTGATGTTATTAATATTTATGTTTTTGTTACTATTGTTAGTAAAAAAATACATGCTAGGGAAGAAATATCTCACCCAGGCATTAAGATTTCATCAAGTATTCTGTGATGAAACAAGGAAAGAATTCTTAATTTGCTCTCTTAAATGTCATGCATTTTTTATTATGTGATTTTCCCAGTTTCTTAGGAAGAAAAAACAATGGTAGAAATCTCAAATTAATTATTGGTGAAAAAGAATAGATTGTATTCCATTATTTATTCAGTGGCTTTCACTCTTGAAACTTATTACACATTGAAAATATTACCTTATCAATCATCACTCGATGAATACTGAAAACATAACAAGTTTTAAATAATTTCCAAGTACTTCTAATATTTATGATACTCTATTTATAGTTTATAAGGTATAATTTTTGCTGAGTGTTATGCTAGCTTTCACAGAATCAAGACATAAATCTATGTCCCAAGGAAAACTGATTAAATATTACTTTGGTGGTTGAATATAGTTAGGGCAATGGATTTTAAAATATGTGTCTACTCTATGAGATCAAATGGAAGAAGAACAATCAAATATCTTGTAACTCAACAATTAGAAAATATAAGACACTGAAATTTCCACTTTACCAATAAAAATCATGGTTTTTATTCTATCTTAGTTTCCTAAATTTAGGTAACTATTTCAGACCAATAGGGGCTGTTTGTATGTTTTTCTCTTCATATAATTAAGACTACACAACAGTAATTTTGTGCATTTTTCTGATGTTTTCAACTTCAATTTCAATTTTAAAATCATTATAAATTGCAAAATACATACCTCAGATTTTAGCAAACATTATTTTTGTATTAAAATTTCAATTTCCCATACTTATAAGACATATGTCATTCAGTGAATCAATCTGTAATTGGTTGTGAAGTTTTTGATAGATTAATAAAGTCAAGTGAGGATATTTATCAATCTAAATCAGAAAATTACAGACTGATAAAATTTTGAAAGTCACATTAATATGAAATTACAGTTTAGCTTTTCCAAAAGAATGTAAACATTAAGTTAGACTTCCTAAAATATATGCTGAGAGCCCATATTCTTTGGTCCCAAGTCATACATACAAATCAGTCAATTACCAGTAATTTCTTAAAATATTATGCCTACTGAAAAGACTATGTCCATTCAGCTATGTATAATATTTTCAGTTACACTTGCTTGATAATGTATCTGTAATTGTAAAAGCATCAAGAGACGATAAATATATAGTAAAATTTGGTTTTTAACTTTTTTTTGGTATTGTTAAGAATCAAAACCACAGCCTCACACACGCTAAACATGGACTTTCTACTGAGCTACATATACAACCCTGTCATCTTTTCTTAAAATTTCTAAATGGAATTCTTACCAATGATGAAATATTCTTGAGTATTTGAAATAATTTTTAAAAATCTTTTAAGTGTGATACTTTTCTTTAAATATTAATTCTTATTTTCAAAGAATGTTCCTGAAGTTAATACATAAATGGTTGTCTGTTGAAAACAGTATTCTCCATGATTTTCAGCTGTGTGAACTGATGTCTAGAAGGTTTAAGTGATTTTTATTGTAAGCTTACAAATTAGTAAATATATATTATGCCATCTTTGAAGTTTATATAAAAATACAAATTAAAATGTGAAATCTAGATCTAACTAATCCAATTTTCTTTCAACAAGGCTGTTTGATGCTCTCATAACCTTTTCTATATTCCAGGCTACCATTTAGTATATAAAGCAGAAACAGAAAGACTTCAAAGGTAGTTTTTTGAAGACATAATTTTTTTTTTACATGAAGATACTTATACTTGTAGTACAAAAAATAGAGTTCTGGAAGAATTTGCAATTTTGATTACCAGAAATAGACGGAACTGAAAGAAATTCTCATGTAACACTAATGAATAACCAGAGGTGATTTTACCATTCTTGTAAGATTCTTAGGATTTATATTTTCAATATGGGATATTTATCCTAGGCCCTTCACACTGAACTACACCTTGTCCCTAAATTGCTAAGTTGCTCACTCTAGGTTCAGTCTTATAATTCTCCTGCCTCAGTCTCCTATAGAGCTGGGGTTACAAGAGTATACCACCATGTCTAGCCTTGTTAAGAAAATTTGAATTGACCAACAAATATTTATTGACCAACCACTATTGAGTAGCCTTGTGACTAATTTAGGACACTATTAATTTAGTTTACCACATGAAAATTGTTCATTTCTATACACTAGTGTCTTGACAGATATAAAACATGTATTTATTAAGTGAATAAACAAGAATCTGAAACTGAAGGAGTTTAAAATAAAGTTATAGTTTCTGAACCACTGGTAGAGGGTTTAATGCAATCTATTCAAAGGCAAAAAGAAAATACAGTAAAAGTTTAAGAAATAGTTCCAGAGAATAATTTAGTACTTTGATAATTTATTTTGGAGTAAAGGACAATTGTTGCATGTGGTTCAGGCATATTGTTTTTATGTTAAAACAGTGATTGATAAAAGGAGTGTGAAATAAGTAAGTAAGATAAAGTTAAGGAGCAAAATAAAGGATAGACAATAAAAATAGGGCAGTAGATCTTTCTCACATGGGAAGGGGATTAAATGGTAGAGGGAGGGGTGTCCAGGAGGGAAAGGGGAGAAAAAAAGAATTGAAATTGAAATACATTGTGTATACGTACTGTTAATGTCAGGCTGGTGGGTTCTTCTCTCAGCCCAGAAAGAATTACAACGTAGACAGTAAAAAGAGGACTGAGCAAAAGTATTTATTATTTGGTCTATAGACCAAAAGCAGAAAGCAGCATTTATTGTTAAGCAAAGGCAAACAGCCCTAGACAAATAAACTTGTGAGGGGGCCTTAAAAAAGGTTGCTAAAAGACTCTACAGTCCAGGATTTTTATACACAAAAATGACTACATTCCAGCCAAGTTGAGATTAATCTATGAGGTTAGAAGCAGGAAAGTTTGACTTAAAATTGGCCCTGTAGGAATTTGGGTTATAAAGCAGGTCTTTAGATGGGTGTGGTTATCATGTTGCTGGATAAGAAAATCTTGCATTCCATTTTTTTTTTTTCTTCCCTTTACTCTTTCAGTTTCTCATACCAGAGAAAATATTTGGTGTTTACACATGTGTCCTATTTATTTCACTTAAAAGTATGCCCTCAATGTGCATCCATTTAGCTATAAATGTCTCTAGTTTCTCATTCTTCACCAGTGAGGCCTGTTTGTTGGGGCTTTGGTGCCCCAGCCTTGCTGTTATCATTCCCTGAACAATCCAACTCCCTCTTTGGCTTGGCCCTTCCCTGGCTGCCTGTCCCACTGTGGTACAACCTTTGCCAGACACTTCCTACACTCCAGACCCCTGATGGGCCAGTGTCACTGAGAAATCTTCTCACCCTCCCACAGGGCCCTGCTTCTCCTCAACATTCTGGGCTACAGACACTGACTGTTTACATTACTGTTGGGAAGCCTCTTGTTAGGTTTGGAAAATAACACCCAAGCCTTAGAAAACCAGACCTAAGCCCAAGCATGGAGGTCTATGGTTCATTCTCTCCAAGTTTCTTGTTATCTCCTTGCCTCATGTACCAACTCCCCACAAGGAGTCTAATCATTATGTACTGCAAACATGTACTAATAAAAAATCAAAACTTTAAAAAAGAGGACATTAGTCTGAGATTCTGTATTTTGTGTTTGTATGCAGGAAACTACAATTTGCTAAGAAACAGAATCCTAATTTAGAAATATGATGGTGTAGCAACCAAGCAAGGTTTAAGCAATCACAGGTGAACTTCAGTCAATCATAGAAATGAATTAACCAGACTATACCAAAACAAAGCAAATGCCAAGATTTTGCCAATCAGATGACTTCTTTATTGTCTCACTGCTTACCCTACTGGATGGAGCTGTCCGTACTGCCTCTATTCTGAGTGCTACCTAATTCATAAATCATTCTTTGCTCGGATAAATGAACTCTGCTAAATTTCGTTTGTCTAAAGCTTTCCTTTTAACTATGCTTGGCAAATCTGTATGCATGAAGGTTCTCTCATTTCTTAATTTAAGAAATAGTATTTGATGTGAAATAATTAAATATTGTAACAATGGTAAATATCTAATATTGCATTGATTTTGGCATTAGAAGAAGTTTGAAAATCAAGTCTGTGTATATATTCATATCAGTGCTGGAGCTCTTCACTTAATAAAATTTTGTGTTGCAAAATAATTTCAGAGTTCTACAAAACTATATGAGAAAATGTATTTTATATATAAATAACTCAATATTACACCTTAGAATGTCAAAGTTTTCCACTTTTGTCATCTTACTTTACAGTCTCTTTGTTGGTCTGAGTTTTAATGTTTCTAAGAAACAAGTTGAACTGAGTCTCATTGCTGGATGTTTAATCAATAGTGATTTAATTTTACTTTTTTTTAACTGACAGAAAAGCAGTTAAAAAAAGAAATTGCATTTCTGTGCAAGGTTGCATTCTAAGAGTTATGGATTTTATGTTTTCAAAACCTATTATGAGTTAATTTTAAATTTCTACTGTAACATATATTTAATAAAGAACAAATGGAAGCAAAATATTAAGTCATAAAGTTGTTTTTCTACATTTAATATTTCCTAAAACAGCATTCTCCTACAAAATTTTCCAATAATCAAAATAGTCTGTTTGTGCTGTGTTGTGTGGTAACCAATACAAGTCTAGGGCTACTACTATTCACAGCTAACTCCGACATTATAATACTAAAACACAAAATTCCATTGTATAGTATATTGCTTAAATTGTTAAGAAAATTATGCATAATATTTGCAAAGATACTCAAGATTTTGATATGTTGATACTATGATGCTATATTTTTACTGCACTATCGTGCAACTCTTTAAGTTTTGAAGTAAGAAGTACATATGTAAACCTTCCCAGTTGTAGGGCTGGTTATTGGATTCTCTGTCCTTATGAATATACTCAGGCATGATGTTTGTTCACTGAGAAAAACAGAAATACAAGCATGAATTTTATTTATTTTTTACAGTCAAAAATATGTTTATTGGAATGTTTTTAGTTATAATCAAAGGCAAAAACATTTAGTTTTTGTTACACCCATAAACATGTGGAAACTGCTTACAGAGCAAATGTATTATGAAAAGAATGACATCCTTGTAAACACTTGTGAAATGGTTATGGATCTCCTTTAACATATGAATGATTTGGTTCTCCACATAGGCTTTCGGACACCGAGCCTGACCCTCATCTTGATGCAATGATGCAAGAAGTTATGCCACTAAAATATTAGTATGAAATACTGTCATTCAGTGTTTGACTATATACACAAATAATGAACTGACAAGCATCTAGTTTCAAATTAGATCCTTGGAATACAGCAAAATAGCTATCTTTGCTTTATACAATAAGTACATTTTGTTGGAAGGGAAGAAGATAATTGGACATTCTCAATGCTCCAATTTGAAGTGATACTTGCTTCTTAGTTTCTTGAGAAAGAAGTTTTGAAAGTTATATACATGGGTTTCATTTAAATTACACAGCAACCTTTTATTATTATTTTCCCAGAACTTGTTTAATGAGGAGCTCTGTCATCAGATCAAGTATGATATTTCACAACTATAAGAATTATGATCACTAGCAAAAGGAAAACAGCAACCAAAGCCATGATGGCTTTTATTTTGCATCCGCACCACCACATTTGCCTTCGAAGCTGTTTGAATCTGTTGCTAAAAGCAGTTGCATTATCCGATAAGCTTTCTGATTTGTCCTGTAATTCATCTAGTCTCTCCCCTCTTTCAATTACCTTTGTAATATTTTCTTTCATGACATCAATAACTTCATCCACCTGATTCTGAACATGGTTAATTTTATCATTTCTAGGTCCAAATCTTGGTCCAGATGGTCTCCTTAGAAAAAAGTCTTCTTCATCTGAATCATCTTCCAAAAGACTTCTCCTTTCACATCCCACAGAACCAGTGACGTCATCATCATTTAGGTGGCGCTTGAATTTGGGAGGAATACTTTTTACTCCTGCAGTACTTCTCTAGTTCCCACTAAAGCATTCACCACCTGAGGCTTCTGGGAGCTCCAGGCAGCTCTCTCAGGCAGCCTGAGGCGGACAGGCAGCCAGGGAAAGGAGCGGGGAGCAGCGGAAGACCGGAGAGCGGACAGGAGGGGCATAGCGGGCGCGCACCTGGCTATGGCCGCTGCGCAGGAGCTGCGCCCCCGCTCCACAAGTATGAATTTTAAATAAACCCTCTAAAAGTAAAATCAGTGGTTATTAAACACGTATCATTAAGTGTTAAACTTTGTGTAAATGTAAAATGTAACTAATAAATTTTGCATGTCTAATGTAGGACTAAAATTATTATTCTCAGATTGTGCTGCCCATAATGCCTAGTCTCATTAAAATATGTTATTCTCACTATATTTTATGTCTATACAGCCTGATGTAAATATTAACGCTTGAAAGTAGAGTTAACTATATCTGTCCTCTTGTTAGCAAACATTTATCTAGAAAGTGAAGGTATTTCTACCACCTTATTTCGGTTCCAAAACACTTTATTTTGTTCAAGTATTTTGAGAGGAGTTAATTCTCACATTTCTAAGTTAGCAATTTACATGTGCTGATGACTTCCTATCACAAGCATTTATTTTAAGCAGACCAAATTACTCAATCCAGCTGCTTAGAGTGATCAATTTGACTCATCTTTCCACTTCTCTTTGCTTCTATTGGCACAACTTTAAAATTTCATAATTTCCTTTTCACAGTAGAATAACAACATTGCTCTTTCTCTTAATGCCTTTCAGTTGAAGGCAGATATATATTAGATAACACTGAGATTGGTCCATCTGTTCTTATCTCTTTTATATCCATTGCCTACTCACCATTGATAACATAAATATAATTATCATACAACTTAGTCAGTAACAGAAGCAAATTAGCTTTTTATACCAACAATCTTTTCAGCTTTACAGTGGCTTTTGGAAAGCCATAATAAACTGTATCTTTTTATGATCATATTTAATGTGTTTTGGTTCAACTTTTCCATATTATCTTTCTCATAACTTTGCTACACGAAGTATTCTGAGTCAGAAGTAGAATTATATTTAATTTTCTACACATACTACTCCAATCCAGAACTTTTACTTGCAGTGGCATAGAACACTTTTGCATTGAATCAATACCTGGACTACATATATAGTATCATCATGACTTTCAAAGTGAGATTTAGTTGTGCTCAAATGTAATAAATCAAAGAACTGAGTATTATTTCCTCTCTAATTTTTAAACCATTGGCAGAAAGCTGGCTTCCAGTTTGATTAACCAGGATTGCTTTCAACTTAGAATTTTGAAACTAGCAAATGTTTTTTAATGTAGACTATGCTTAATGATACTGTACTAAAATTAATCTTTTTATAACTTATCAATACATTGACATACACTTAAAATACATACACTACTTTACTTAAAATAAAACTTTGGAAAATATATTGCATCAAAATAATACATTAGAAAAAGACAAACATATGAGATACATTCAAAAATTAGAAAAGTAATTAAGTCAATAGATGCTAACATTAAATCTATATTTGATCATTTTGAGAAAGAAATAAATACAATAAAATTAGAAAGAAATATTATATACAGGAAAGACAACTCAATCCATACTTATTAATATATAACTATAATTCTATGCCAAGCCACTGGCTTCTTTTTACCTTTCATAAAAATGTCCATAAAAGCAATTTGACCAATTCCTCACTTAAACTCTAATTACAATCAATACCAGAGACAGGATTATCCTTTCAAAATGTGCCATATATATTTGATTTTTCATAAGTGACATTTTGTCTTATTCAGAAAAATGATAGTTCTCATTACTTAAACATTTATGAATAATTTTGTTAAGGTACACTTTAATCTTTTATTTTTTCCTTGTTTTTATTCACACTACCTGAGCCCCATTACCAATTTTCCATAGAAATTCCTAATTATCTACATGGTTAATCTTTTCATTTTGCACTCTGCTTTAATGTTTTAGAATTATAAAAGGACTTTCTGGATAATCCTTAGTACTACATCCTTTCCAATTCATAACTCATTTGTTTTACACTGCATTCTACTTTATTTTTGATATCATTTTACCACTTTTCATCCTTGGTAATTTTCTTCCTTTCTAGTTAAAATGGTGCCTCCATGAAATTACTGCTCTTGTTTTATTTTTATATTTCCTTAGCTACAAATATGTAACAACACTAAGTGTTGAATAAATAATATGAGGGATATATTTTTATATATGATTTAAAATAAAATAAATATGACTATAGGATGTTTCAAATAAATTTTAAGGGCTCTAATGCTTGGATATAAAGGAATAGATGTAAAAACTCAATGTACTTGACTCATACATCTAATAGCAAATTTCCATTGCATTCACCAGATTCTCTTTACCTCTGTATATTGAGGACATGTATCTCCTAGAATATGACATGAGCAAGGAAATAAAAGTATTGTGAGATATATTGTGAATCACTTTCAGAGGTTTGAAGTGTAGCCATGTGTGTTTGTGTGTGTGCATGCGTGTATAACTATCCAAAGGAAAAATAGTTTTATTATTGTAGATAATTTGGAATAAATCTTGAGGGTTTTCAGTTAATATCCAGATAGTAGAGCATCAGCTTGCAAAACTCTGAATAGGAAAACAAAGAGATACCTGAGCCATGGACACAAAGGAGAAAGTATTAGGAAAGTGTGGAGTATTTAACAAGGGTTAAAATCTACTGAAAAGTCAAATAATTCAGAGTTGAAAAATCTGTAAATTAATGACACAAAGTTTATATTCAGAAGAATGAGACAAGATTTAGAGGGGAGTGAAGAACAGAGCTAGAAGTTAAATACAATCTATTAATAAAAATTGATATTAAAAAGAGTTAGACTACATTATAATCTATGAATTATAATCTATGAATCAATCCACATATTTTGTGTTGAGATTTAAAAAATAAATGAGAATGTGCATTTGTAGGACAGACTTTGGATGTATTGGAGATGTAGGTAAATAGTGCGAAGAAATACACCCTGGCTAGCAAGAAAGACAGTACTTACTCTTAAGAAAGAAAGATAATTAAGTAGTTTATATTTTTCATTGATGGAATGGCATGGCACTACAATGTAAACATACATGTTTATATTTATGTATAATATATATCAAACCCTTGATAGATGAATGAATAGTAAGAGAAATAGTTTTTAATGTCTAGCACTGTGATAAAAAATGGTCACCACTATTTCAATTACTTCAGAGAGACTACTTCACTTGGGATAAGGCCATATGTATTTCTAATATGTACAGCATTCAGAAAGATTAGAGATGAAGAGTATTATTAGATAGGGAGAATCTCCATGGTAACAAGTAGATTAAGAGGTTGAAAGAGCAACACACTCAGGAAACAACAAGAATTTACACACAATTTTGAAGTTTATCGTACTGAGAAGTGTTGGCATAAACTTTTAGACATAATGCATTGTAAATAAAGTCTCAAGACTCTATTGAAATTTAATGAATGCCAGTCAAAGTTGTCTAAAAGTTAATATGTGGAGCCTTAGTTATCCAAAGCTTTGAATTCCATCTATAATACTGAAGCATGCCTTGGCATTTTTAAAGTATATTTTGAAAAAGAAGAATTACATTGTAAATCTAATTCCTGAAAACTATCAGTCATACTTGGTGCAAACAAAAAATGTATCATTAATGCTTTAAGAAACACACCTCAATAACTAAGCTAACATCCAACAGTTCTGTGATAGTCCTGGGAACATTAATATTCTGGGTACAGATCAACACTGAGAAGATCATTAAAGATTTATAAAAGGATAACTTGAAAATCAAGAAATGATAGAAATCTACTAAATTAAGGAATATTGGCAAGATCTTGATGTTTCACTGGAACAGCACATTTCTTAACCTGATGTGTTATAAAGTTCACAGGATATGTTGAGAAAACAACAGCATGGAGACTTGAAAATACTAGATAATGACAAATCTGCAGCGTAATATGAAGGATAGAATGGGAAGCTAAGCCAATAATAAGAAAAATGTATTGAGGTAAGGAGAATATGGAAGAAATGTGGATGAAAGTTACAGTGCAAGATTTGCAATTTTGATTGAATATGTTATTATCCTAATAGAAAGATAAATTATTTTTATATCAACATACCAAAAATATAGTTTTCAAAAAATTTTATGAAATTGACTAATATTAGTGGATATTTTAATTAATCATATATTTGTCATAACTTATAAGAATTATATATTTCATAGTTAAAATTTCTATATATCTACTGTGAAAAAATAATTTAGAAATATCATGGACATATTTTGAAAAATCTTAAATCAATATTTAAGAATCAATATTTTATGTTAGTTATTCTTTAATTGTATTTGTGGACTACAACACATAAACATTTATTGTAGTTTTTATTGTCTTTTATGTATAATTTCTTAAAAATTTCCACTCTTTAAATAAATGTACAAACATAAAGAGTACCTGATTAATTTATTTGAGAGAGATTATTTTTTTCATGGAATTTATAATATGTTATATACACTATACAATTACATATTTTCCTGATCTTTGTGAATAGTTCATAGATTTAGACATTCTGTTTATCTTTTCACTTTGAATTTCAAATATAAAACTTTAACATGAGAAAAATGGTGTAATAATTATTTTAGACGGCTACTGACATCTTTTTATTACAACTTTTTCTCTATATATCCCCTGATATTTAAAAATAATTTTAATTTAAATATTTTCAAGTAATGTATTTGATTATTTTTCTCATAAGTAAAATTAAACCTTTTGAAATCAATAAACTGAAAATAGACAGTTTTTTATTCCATGAAATATTATAATAAATTGGGATATGACAAATTCATGTTTTTCTCACTGATCTGAACTTGAAATTAATAACAAGACAACCATGCCATTATTTCATCAATTCTCTTAAATCAATTCTAGATTTTCATGAGATAGCTGGACATTGTTCATTAAAAAAGGAATAAATGCAAACTAATATGCTTTAATTTCCAGAAGCTAAGAAATGTTTATATTTTATTATGCACATAGGTGCCTCGAGGAATCAAAGTTGAACATTTATACAACTCTTCTTGGGTTATTTGAAGAAAAATTGTCATTCCTTTTTCTCAGCGAATCACTCAGATAATAGATTAGAATTACAATCTGTGTTATAT